TTTAGCTCAGAGAAAGAAAATAAAGCTACTGGCTAGATTATGACGAAATGTCATTTATTTATTCAAATTATTTATCTAGTGATTTAGTCAGTGAAGAATCACATTAACACACCAAAGGCAAGCAGTTCAAATTCACCAGCTGCTCCAAAGAAGAAAGATGAGCAATCTCCTCCCATGGGATTTACAGCCTCTGAAAACCCATTGGAGGGTCAGTTATTGTTTGGTTCCCTCTGATAGCAAGTAAGAACACAGACACTATCAGGAGTTGCTCCATCAACTCTGCAGAATACAAGGATGAAAACCAATTTCTGCTAAAAGATAATTCCGGAAAGGTCTACTGATGTGAGTAGATGCACTCCCTGTGGATGACATAACCGATCAGTAAAGATTGAATCACTTAAACCAGCATATATGCAAGTTTTCATAGTTCTGGAGACCAGAGTCCAAAATCGAAGTATAAGTGTAGCTAACATTCTCCATATAGCTTTAGGGACATTCTGTTTCTTGCCTCTTCTACTTCTGGCTACTACCAGCTTCTTTGATTTCTAGCTATGTGGCTGCAATCTTTGCATTCATCTTCATGTCACATTCTTGTCTGTCTGTTTTCTCCTTTCCTGCCAAATCTCCATCTGTTTTCCTTTCTTAAAGACACTAAGACATTGCATTGCCAATACACAGTATGTGGTTCAAACACCAGCTGCTCCACAGGAGCAATCGCCTCCCTGCAAATGAATACCTCTGAAAACCTACTGAAGGATCACCTTTGCATTGGTTCTGACTTGATGATACAAAATGCAACAAAAATGCAGCTTTAGGGAGTTCTGGTGGCCTGGTGGTAAAACGTTCCACTACAATCCCAAGGGCATACACTATTAATCTACCAGCTGCTCTGCAGTAGAAGGATGGACAATAGCCTTCCGTGCTATTTACTGCCTCTGAAAACCCCCTGGAGAGTTAGCTATGGATTGGTTCTGACTCAACAACACACAACAAAAACATATAACCCAGGATGATCTCTGCTTTTCAAGATTAACTTTAATTACGTCTACAGAGCTTACTCCTCCGGACCCCAGACAAGGTAAAAGTTACAGGTTCTGGGAATTAGGATATAGACATGTCTTTTGGGAGGGGTCACCATTCAACCATTTTCATCAGATTTCACCATAACAACCAGCATCTACTCAGTGTGCACTGTTACCAGACATTAGTCCAAGTGCTTCATAAACACCCACTGACAGGTGGAAATATAAAACAACATAGGCATGAAAGAGTCAGTGAAAAATCAGTTTCTTTGTAAACCTTTATTCAAATCACTGTAAAAAAAGATTTTAAAAAAATTTTGGTTTTATAAAAGAGTTATTTTATGAATTGTATTTCCTGAAAACATGTGTATAAATCATCCATTGTCTCTATATTTGTAAATATTATTCTCTTTGGATTTTAAAAAATACCCATTAATCCTCACCAAAATTCTATTAACATGGATTCTAGAATACCTCCCACTTATGGATGATGGAAGTATGGCAGGAAGGATAGTAGTAGTAAGGCATAGAGTGATTTACCCCAAGTTGCTGAGCTAGCTAGCATCAAGAAACCAAGCAATCTATTACAATAGGGAAATCGTCTGCTAAACTCTTAAAAGGAAGATGTCACTTTTAACACGAAGGTGTACCTGCCCTAAGTCATGGCATCTTCAGTTGCCTTATATTTAAAAACTGGACAAAGGAAAAGGAAAACCAAAGAAGAATCGATGTACTTGAATTATGGTGTTGGCATTATATTGAATATCTAAGTAGTAGATGATGCAAAGAGATCCTGTGAATGAAAGACCTGAACACTTGGATAACTTTCATTGTTTCTCCAAGTTCATAGAGTTTCCAGAGGCAAGCAATTATGGAAATGGATGCCACTCCTGCTCCCAAGCTTGTTTTAATCAAAGAGCTCCACCAAACACTGTGTGCCACAGGTAACCATTATCACATTTGACACATCAGTGTCACAGTGTTCGGCTTCACAGCAGCCACAACAGACCAGGGCTATATGACCTAGAAGAATGTTTGACCAAAAACAATTAAAACCAGGCTGAGGGCCGCAGATTAATAGCACCCACCTTTGGCTTGGTAGCATAACTTTCTACCCACTAGGCCAACAGAGCTCTATTAGATATTAAATATAGCATGGGCTGATATAACAGTAAATATATCTGCTTAGAGGCATGACAGTGAGAACGCTCCTAAGAAATGAGAATGTCAAGACTTTGTTCCATTTATTTTGGACACGTTATCAGGAGGGACAAGACCCTGGAGAATAATATCATTCCTGGTAAAAGTAGAAACTCAGCAAAAAATAAGACGACTCTGGACAAGATAGACTGACACAGTGGCTGCAACAGTGGACTTAGCCACACCTCCTATTACGAAGATGGTGCTGGACTGGGCAATAGTTTGCTATACGGACAATTACTCTAAGTCAAAGCCCACTTGACAGCACCTACTAGCAATTACTGGTGTAGATGAGATGGAACACTATGTCATTGGCTCTAAAGCCCATAAAAACTAGAGGGGAAAAGAAGGGGGGAGGGAAGAGAGTAGCAAAGCAAGTTATAGATGTACATTAATATTCTTTATTTATGTGTCAAGAGTTAGAAAAATTTCAGATAGGCACTTGTATTTGGACTTCAAAATGTGCCTCAATGTTAGAGAACTATTAGAGCTTCCGGCTTCTCAAGCCCTGGTGTCTTTAGCTTCTCCTACAAGTTTTCAGGATTTCAAACATAAAAGTAAATTCCTTCACAGTGTTTCATTAATTACTGACCAGAACAAACAATAAAAATAAGCACTCACTATAGTATTAGTGGACACAGTGGAACTTCATTCAGTTTCAGTCTGGCGATTCATCCTATTTCTTGTAAAATCCTTCAAAAAGGCCCTGGTGGCAGTCTCAGACACCTCTCTGTCCTCAGAGAACCAGCTTCTCATATTCAAGCTGCTTCCCCCTCTGCTCTCACTGCCTCTTTCTCTCACCACTCTCTACCTTGGTTTCCTCCTGCTTCTGTAACAAAGATCACAAACGGGTGGCTTTAACAAACAAGGATTAAATCTTTTACTGTTTAGGAGATTCAACTCAATTAAACCAATTGCTATTGAAGCAGAATCAATTTATAACTAACCCTCCAGTGCATCTTCAAAGGCTGTATAGAGCACGTGAAGAACATGCCCATCCTTCTCCAGTGGTGAAATCGGTAGATTCGAACCACTGCCTTTGGATTGACAGCACAACTCCTTACCCACTAGGCCACCAGAACTTCCTGTAGCCATCCAAATTCACTCTGGTTTAATTGGGTTGGCTTTTTGGAAAGGTCTTTGTCTCTTTTCCAGATCTATTCCTCAGTTTCTTGGTGATCCTCATGTGGTGTATAACTTCCACCCTTTGCCTGATCTAAGGTGCTCTGATGACATAGTTGTAGCAAGTTATACTGCTAACTCAAACATGTCTCCAGTGATATGAATCTACCAGTAGTCCCAAGGCTTTAATATGAACCATTCCCTGTCATTCAGATTTACAGCCTCAGAAACCTGATGAGGGTCACTATGAGCTGAAACATCAGTGCCAGCAGCCAACACCAGTGTGAACATTTTGTTTTCAACTACCAAAATTAACCAGGGTAATTTTTTTCTGCAAAAAAATTTAATCTGTACAAATTAATCCATAGAGGAATAAGGCCAGCAGTTAAGAAAAAGAAAAAAAACCTCTCTTTTGAATGACATCCATTAATCATCAACTCCATTCTAACTCGTGGAGACCCTGTGAGTCACAGAGTATAGACTTACTCCACAGGGCTGTCAACTGGATTAAAACTGTCAACTTTTAGGTAAGCAGCTAACATGACATGACCCAACTCTATTAATAGGCAATTACATACCACTTTTGACCCAGGACAAGGTGAATTACATACTTCCATAGAAATTCTTTCTGGGGAGTGAGCAAGATAAGAGGGAGATTGGAGAAAGCCAGAAAGACTCCTTGAAAGAGGAGACAGTTGAGTTTAAGAAAAGAAAACACAAGGTGGAATGTGACAGGAGCCAGAAGCACGGTGCCCACAGGCCACTCCTTGAGAAGAGATCATATTCAGATCAGTGAGAAGGGAAATTCTGATAAGAAAGACTTACTATATGGACCCATCTTAGAAACAAAATGCAAGGGAAATTGGCTTGTATGACCTCAGTCTAAGTTGTCTATCCATAGCCCATTGTGACATCGTTCACATTTGGGTATAAGAAGGATGGCTATCTCACTGTCCTTTCCTCCAGTCCAGCCTCCATAACACCTCTACGGGTCCCATGAATAACATCAAAGACCATGCTCCTGTTACCAGTTTTGCTGCTGATACCACAAGTCAGGAGTAAACATTTCGGTATGTGGACTTCTCTACCAGTGACCAGAGTTGATCTCACAGAGGGGGTTGGCCATGGCAGCCAGGCTCTTCCTCTCCCTTCCATCCAGTAAGTGCTGAGAATTAGGATCAAAAAGGAGAATGAAAGTTTGTTAGTCAACTCACTAATTAGCTAGTTACTACTGAGAATAACAACTCACAGGAGAACCAGATATTTTAGCTTAATGCTCTTCCATGTACTTCTTACATTGGTTTCCTTGGCTTCTCTATTCCTTGATACAAAATTTGATCTGTCTGATCTTGAGTTTTGATGGTGAGGCCTCGTCTTTGAATGAATAACACTATACCCAGAAACATGTATCCATAATTAGTTGAGCATCTGTCTGCCGGCTCAGAGGAAAAAGAGTATGCATGAGGATAGTCATGACAAAGCTTTGAATTGAAGCACAGAGTGAAAGAGTAGCTATGCACATTTACATATACACACAAGTGAAGGAAAAGGGCTTCTGTTCTTAACAGTCAGCTCTTTTCAGCTCCTTGTTTGGTCATTTCTCTCTCCAAGGGGGAGGCCGAGACAGAGAGGAAGCAGGAAAGCTTGGCAAAGTACCGTTCTGGGCCAAGTACTTTCCCATCCCCGTACTGGGACACTTCTGTTATTACTCTACATTATATGAAAGTATCACGGATTGCTTTCTCCGATACCACAATTCAAATCAATTGATTCTTCTGTCATTCTTATTGTTTAACTTTCAGATGCATAGCAAGCAAATGAAAATGCATAGCTTGGATCAAGTGCACCTTTGTGTTTTTTCTTTTTTTAAAATTTTTATTTTATGTTGGTTTACTTACATTATGTTTCATACTATTCTTCATATTGTTTCATATAATCATTCCATGCATTATATTTTTATTGATTTTCATATAATAATATCTTTACAGTAAATTTCATTGGTATACATTGCATTTTATATATTTCATTTACTTTGTGTTTCATACAATCATTCATATACATTCTGTTTTATATTATTTTTATTCCAGTTTATTTACAAAACTTGAATATATTGTCCATCACACCAGATTCTTCCCATTTCCCTCACCCCAAACCCGTCAAATTGTGCAACCTCATGATTACTTCCCCTCCCACATTCTCACCCCTCTGCTTCCACCTCTCCCTCCCCCCTTGGATCCTCATACTCATTCTACAATAATGGTTTTTTATCATATTTGTCCTTGAGGGTCTGAGTTAGTTCACTCAACATAATGCTCTCCAGACCCTCCCAAGTTAGGTAATTACAAAATCATTGTTCCTGTGTGTTGTATGGTATTCCATTGTGCGAATGTACCATAATTTCTCAATCCATTCGATTGTGGTTGGATATCTGGGCTATTTCCATGTTCTTGCAATGGTAAATAATGCTGCTATGAACACTGGTGTACAAGTCTCTATTTGGGCCTCAGCTCTCAGTCTTCTTGGGGTATATTCCAAGCAAAAGGAATAGCTGGGCCATATGAAATTTCTATGTTCAGCTTTTTGAGGAAGTGCCAAACTGCCTTCCAGAGTGTTTGTACCATTGTACAATCCCACCAACAATGTATAAGAGCTCTTATCCTCTTATCTTGCTACATCCTCTCCAACATATATTACTTGCTTTCCTGTTACATGCATTGTATTTTATAAAACTAATCACCATTGGACTATGCCCATCATTACTCTGTCTTTTCAGGCCCCTGCTGGATCTTTCCCATTTCATCACCTCTCTCCACTCACCAAATTATGCAACCCTGTGGTTTTTCTCCTACCCATTTCCACCCCTCTGCTCCCATCTTTTCTCCCTTTGGGTCCCCCTACATGTTTTACTAGTTATCCTTCTATTTTTACCAACATTGGTCTTATGCAGTATTTGTCCTTATGAAATTGAGTTAGTTCACTCAGCAAAATGCTGTCTAGTCTCCCCAAAGTTATGCAGTATTTTTCAATATCATTGCTCCTGAGTGCTATATAGTATTCCATTGCTGAGATCATTGTTCTTTAGCACTTTGGAGAGGTCCTTGACAACAATTTCCCAATGGAATGTGTCTTTTTTGATTTCTTAATGGTTGTTACCATGGGTGTTGGTTTTGAATCCAAGTAAAATGGAATTATTGATAACTTCGTTTTTTCCTCTGTTTGTCATAATGTTGTCTATTGGTCCAATGTTAAGGATTTTTTCCTTGATGTTGAGATTTAATCCATTTTGAAGGCTGTTGTTATTGTTGTTCTGTGCTATTGAGTTGTTTGAGACTCATAGAGACCCTACGTACAACAGCTCTGAACTCTGCTTTATCCTGAGCCAACTTTATTGTCTTTGACACACCTACCCTCATTACCCCAGTTACCAAGTCAATCCATCTCATCAAGGATCTTTCTCTCTTGTGTTGTCCCTCCACCTTCCCAAGCATGATGTCCCTCCCCAAAGACTGGTCCTTTCTTGCAACATTCCCAAAGTATGTCAGACGAAGCTTCAGAAGCCTTGACTACAAGGAGCAACCTGATATCACTCTCTGTAGGATGAATTTGTTTGTTTTCCTAGCAGTCCATGGTATATATATTCAATACCCTTCTCCAGTACCACAGCTCAAAGGAATCAATTCTCTTTCTATCATTCCTAGTCATTGTCCAGCTTTCTGATGCATAACACATAATTGTGAAGTTCATGGCCTGGATCAGGTACACCTTAGTCTCCAGACTGGCATTGTTGCTCTTCAGTACTCTGGAGAGGTCTCTGATAGCAGACATTCCCAAAATAGTCATTTGATCTCCTTGCTGCTGGAACCAAGAGTTTGATTGTGGAGTCAAGCAAACTGAAGCTGTTAACAATCTCAATCTCTTCACCGTTTATCATGATGCTGCCAATCAGTCCAGTGGTGAGAATCTTTAATTTCTTAAAGCTGAGCTTTAATCCATATTGAAGGTTACAGTCCTTGACCTTCTGCAGCAAGCGCTTCAGGTTCTCCTCAGTTTCAACAAGCAGGGTTGTGTCATCTACATAACACAGGTTGTTGATGAGTCTTCCTCCAATCCTGTTGCCACATTCCTTCTCATAGAGCCCAGCCTCCCAGATGATCTGCTCCGCATACAGATTGAAAAGGTATGGAGATAGGACACAACCCTGGCATATAGCCTTATCAATTTTGAACTGTGTAGTGTTTCCTTGCTCTGTTCTGACATAGCCTTCTAGTCCAAGTATAGGGTTTGTGTAAGCACAATCAAGTGTTCTGGGATTCCCATTATCCTCAGTTAGCCACAGTTTCTTGATGAATGTTTCTCCAATCCTGATGCCATACTTTCCCCCCCAGAGTTTAGCTTCTTAAATAATTTACTCAGCACATATGTTAAATAGGTATGGAGAAAAGATACAACCTTGATGCACACTTTTCCTAATTTTAAACCATGCAGTATTCCCTTGTTCTGTTCTCAAAATAGCCACTTTTTCTATGTATAGTTTTTACACAAACACAATCAACTGTTCTGGAATTCCCAGTCTTTTCAATGTTAGACATAAGTTGTTATGATCTACACAGTCAAATGCCTTTAATAAAGTCAATAAAGTACAAATTATCATTCTTCTGGTATTCTTTACTTTCAGGCAGGGTCCATCCAATACCTGTGATGATATTTCTGGTGCCACGGCTACTTCTAAATCCAGATAGTGTATCTGGCAGTCCTCTATGCACTGTTACAGCTATTTTAAAATTATCTTTAGCAGCATTTAACTTGAGGTGATGGTGATAATATTGTGCAATAATTTCTACCTTTCTTGTCGACCAGGCAGCTATCCTCCAAATTTCTTGGCATAGACTGGAGAGCATGACCAAGGCTGTTTCTGTGATATGAAACATTTCAACTGATATTCCATCAATTCCTGGGGCCTTTTAAAATTCCTTCCCCCATTGTCTTCAGTGCAGCTTTGGTACCATTGGCTCTTGAGCATATGGTACTTTATGAAATATTTCAGTATCAGTCAGTTTTTTTGGTACCGTGGCTCTGTGTATTCCTCCATCTTCTTTTCTTTCCTCAGTTTATTTTTATTTTATATTGGCTTGTGTACAAAATTTATATACGTTGTGCATCTTTCATGTACATTGCCTCCATCTTCTTTTGATGTTTCCTGGATCTTTCAAGATGTTGCCCATAACATCCTTTAGTATTACAGCTCAAGGCTTAATTTTTTTAGTTTTTTCAGCTTGAGAAATGCCTACCAAATTATTTCCTCTTTATTCTCCAATTTACATGCCTGTGAATTCCATTATAAGTAGTTGGCTTTGTCTTTTCCAAGCTGCTCTTTAATTTGGCTTCTCAAAACTCCAGTGCAATTTTGAAGATCTCTTCTGACATCCATTTAGGTTTTTTCTTCTCATCTTTTTAACGACCTTTTGCTTTCTTTATGGATGATATCCTTAACATCATCCCACAATGCCCCTGCTCTTCTATCATTGGTGTTCAGTGCTTCAAATCTGTTCTTAACATGATTGTTAAGTTCATGTGAAATAGACTCAGGATCATATTTTGGTGCCCATGGACTTGCTTTCATTTTGTTCATCTTCAAATTGAGCTAGAATATGATTAACTTATGGTCTTTTCCACAGCCAGCACCTGGTCTGGTTTGAATTGCTGAAATTGAGCATCTCCAAAATTTTCTTCCACAAATGTAGTCTGGTTCCTCTGTAGTGTATCTGGTGAGGTCTATGAGTACAGTCACCATCTGTGTCTATTTATAAAGTATTTGCTGGAGCAGTGAAGATGGGCAGGGGGTCAGTGTTAATCATAAGGTTGCACAATTTGATGGGTAGAGGGGTGAAGGAAATGGGAAGGATATTTTGTGGAAAACAATGTATTCAAACTTTGTAAAGAAATCAGTATAAAATTTTAAAAAAGTATTTGCTATAAATAAATTATTGAATGAACAAAATTTGATTATTCCATTTACAGCCTCATTTCTGTCACCAAGTCCATCCTTTCTGACTACCCTTCCTTCTTTATTAATTCCAACTTTTGCATTCTAATCACCAGCTATCATTAACACATCTTGGTCAATTTCACACATCAAAATTTTATAAAAATCTTTAATTTCCTCCTCTGTGGCTTTAGTTGTGGGAGCCTATATTTGAATAATAGTTTATTAACAGGTCTTCCTTGTATGTGTATAGATAATATTCTATCACTAACAACATTGTTGTTGTTGTTGTTGATATGTGCTGTTGAGTCATCTGTGACTCATAACTACCCTATGTACAACAACCCTAAAGCCTGCTCTATCCTGTGCCAATGTTATCTTCTCTGACACAACTACCGCCATTACCCCAGTCACTGAATCCATTTCATTGAGGGTCTTCCTCTTCCTCTCTGTCCCTCTACCCTCCCAAGCATGATGGCCCTCTCCAAGGACTAGTCCTTCCTTGCAACATGTCCAAAGCATGTCAGACGAAGCTTCAGAATCCTTGCCTCCAAGGAGCAGCCTGGCTTCACCCTCTCTAAAATGAATCTGTTCATTCTCTTAGCAGTCCATGGTATATTCAATACTCTTCTCCAACACCACAACTTAAAGGCACCAGTTTTTCTTCTGACATTATTATCCATTGTCCAGGTCTATTA